CCGAAAAATGGGACCCCTTCCTTGCCTGTTGATTTCCGCATTGATGCGACTTTCATCGGTGCTGCCCTCTTCAACGCTAACGCTCTCTCTGCTAAATGGCTAGAGGGTCAGACCGCGAGAGGAGGGCGTACCGCTCCAATAGCGCCGTGGAAAGGCCATGCTAGACCGCCGGGGACATATCCAGCGAATTGCTTGTCGGTCCACATCCTCAGTAGTTCCACCAGTCTCTCAAGGTAAGTATTCCCTTCGATCTTGGAGTACTCCTTTAACAGGATTTGGATACATCCACTTTTGATGGAATTCATCAAAAATGATGGCACCAGCTCGTTGTCACTCCCTCCATTATCTTTTTTGCCTTCCTCACCTAATAATTCAAAGATGAAAATTTAGTGCATTAGCGACATTCTGAAATGCGCATGCATCTTCCTTCTGTTCGCAGTCACAGTGCATTGAGCACAGGTGATTGAGTATGACCTGTGAAATCAGCGTATCCTCAAGTGAGATCCCTTCGATGCTCGTTCGCAGTTTCATTTTTCCATTAGTTGGCCGAAGAAGTAAAAATTGGTTCTTCTAGCGAGAATTCGGCTTGCGCACCACGAAAGGAAGTGCAGCACTCCTAGGTAATGAGCTATTTTAGCCTACTATTATGATGCTATACAGACGGCTATAAAAGGATAAAGGATAAAGCATTTGCCGTTGATCAATCCCTTTTTGGGATGCGGCACGCATTCTACTTCCATTTGTACATTCGTAGTGGCGTTTGAATGCGATGTGGCCTATACAATGACTTGCGGGGGCCAGCCGATGTACAAGTCAGTGTTTTTATCCTCCCAGACAAGTCTGGTACCAATTAACCGACCCCGGAGGGATGGAAGGCTTGGTTGGCCCGGGCGACTCACGACCCAGGATTTGATCCCCGGACCGCTCGCGTGGTAAGCGTGCCACTTGCACTACACCACTTCCGCCCTACTATACACCAGCAAATTGCAATTCCTTTAATTCTTTTTTCTATCTCGACTTAATCATGATCTCTTCAAGAATGCCGATTCATTGAAGGTGTATATCGTCTCTCGAAAAGCGAAGATCCATAATGCATAGGATAAATAAAAATCCATATATCGGATTGATCACCCAGGTGAGTGTGGTTCGTTCCTTTCGAAATATAGGTTCATATGGCCGATAGAGACATTCCTAGCGGCTAGTGATGCTGAGTAGTGTGAATTCCATGAAAATAGAATCCCATTAACGGGTCTCACAGCAGGTGTGTAGGAGCATTCACAGAGGTGTATATAATACTCAATACACTAAAAACATCGATCAATAGAGGCGAAAGGCGTACTCGCAAACGTCACGCTTACTAAGAAACACTCCAGGAACTAACTCGATGAAAAAACATAACTTTGTCTTTTCCTATTGTCGAGATAGGTTGTACACATTGACCGCAATTTGTCACGGACACGCCAGAAGCGCTGGTCGCACATCTTCCAAGCCGCTCTGGGCTCTTTTGCGCCACACTTGGCCTCATAACTTTACTTGAGGTCGGCCCACAGGGTGCCCGAAGCAACATCGGGTAGAGGATCTGGATAGCTGCTGAGTTCGAGAACAATTCCATGACATGTTTCATGCCGTACCGTTCCATATATTTTCCTGGAAATTTCAGGTGTGGCCAATGCAAAACCAGATCACTAGCGTGTTGAATCCAATGGAGCCAATTATCAACGCACTTGAATATGCAGAGCATACGTATGGCCACCCTGTACTCGGAGTTCATTCAAAGGATTCCGGTATAATTTCTCAGGTTCTCGACCATTTATGTGCCGGCCAATATGCCTAACCATAGCATACTGTCAAGTATTGTATAAAAGAGTAAGGATGCGACCGAAAGCATTTTTTTCAAAAACGAATTGATTTTCCCTTCCAAATTTTGCAAATTCTTAACATGATGTCATTGCTTTTGACAAATGAACCGAACATCTATAAATAGCATCTGTAAAATCTGCAGCTTATATTCTGAGCTCATGAGACACAAGTTACAAAAATTCCTAGTGAGCTGGTAAAGCATGCGATATTTTTCCTAATTTTTCAGAAGATGTTTCCTCCCAGCCTTATAAACCGCATGACAAAAGACATCGTCGACAGGTTCTTGCGTTCCATAGCTGACAACTCTGAGCTTGGGCTGGGGATCTCTATGGAAGAAGCTGATGAAATAGGAGGTGAGTCTGTGCTCTTTCTAAGGATCCCTCAGAAGTGTGGCGCCAATTTGCTTCACAAGGCGAGCTGTCCTTTACTGAGGAAATAATTGTCTCTTAGTATTCTTGCTTGGCTTGTTTTGTTACCTGTAGTTCTCGCCGTCGCTATTGAGGAACCATCAAAGACCCTGAGTTACTTCCCTTTCTTTGCAAACGTGCTACCGCTGCACCACCAAGACCATGCAGATGGATTTCTATCAATTCTTCACCCCTTTGATTTGCATCCCTTCCTTCCTTTCCGCTGGAGACGGCTTACCAAGCGGTAGTTAGAGGTTCTCATGGTTTGTACGATCTTTATTTTTATAACCAAATCGTGAATATGGTACTGAGGAAAGGTGGCCTGAACATGAATCTGACCACCAGGTTTTCATGCTGCAAGACACTGCTCAGTTCTATGAATGGAAGTTCTATGAAATACAGATAAAGAATTGGTGACCCTATGGAACTCCACGGTCAACGAATGGACATCGGGCCAAATGGAATCACCAGGTGAAAGTCAAGGCATACCGTACGCCGACGCAAAGCAACTGGTTGTGACAACTGACCGACTGCAGTCTCTTACACGACAGGTGCAGTTCTTTGATCCCTGTACTCTATTAATGTCGCCCAAAGAAAATGCTACATCAGTCAGGTGCTGTGATATTTTCAGAATGGCGCCAGCGATCCTTTCAGTCTTCTTCATGAATACATTGGTCAAATTCTAACCACCAACGATAGTCAAGATGAGGTGAGTATCGCGCTGTGAGGTTGACACTTCTTCCCAAACACTTCCTCGTCTCAGGATTGCATAAAAGCTGCTGTCTTCGTCGATCCACTTGTGATCTACGAGGATTCAAGTGTCAACATCGAGATGTTTTGGTCTATAAGCACGTCTCCGTTGGACCGGCCATGTACTAGCTAGTGTTTGAATCCTATGGAGAATTATTGGTAGTCGATTAACCTCATCAGCAGGAGGGAAGCTCGGTCGATTAGACAGATTTAATTGTTGACCTATACCAAAGATCTAATCGGCGATCTGCTTCAGATCGATCTGGAAAAAATTGAAAGTGGTTTATGTGTCTGATAAAATAGATGCTAGCAAAAGTGCTAAACCTCATACTCATTTGCGGGCTGGGTTTGACGGGCGAGTGCTCGTCTCCCTTTTTACTATGAGAGCTTGATTGATTGACGCAAATTTCGTTACCCGTATTTTCTGTATTACATGTCAGAGGAACCGACGACAAATGAGATGCCGTGGGTGCGAGGACAATAGGCATGTGATAATGCGCTGTGTGATTTCGAGGGTTTTTAAACATTTTTTCTGCTTTCTTCAATTGCTGCTGTACCAGACTTTTACAGATATGTTCATTTCTTTTTAAGTACAACAACCGCTACGTATTTAACCCTTTGACTGCTGGTGGGACACATGTGTCCCACTTGGTAGTCAAAGACACTACCACAGTTTCAGGAGATATAGGGGCAGGAGCGCTCATTTGATGGCTAAATTGTGCACATATAGAAGCTTTCTAATTCTTACTATGACAGTGAATCGTCAGAAGCTAAAGCGAGTCATCCTGCATAAGTTAATCTTTGACTACTGGTGGTACACATGTGTCCCACTTGGTAGTCAAAGTCACTACCACAGTTTTGGCACTTATTGAGATCGGAGGGTCCGCTTTATGGCGGAATTGTGCACAACTAGAAATTGGTAATTCTTACTCTGTCAGCGAAGTATCAGAAGTCTAGCGAGTTACGCTGGATAAGTTGATAAGCAAGTCGTTCCACAGGTCACTGTGGCAGTATGCACAGCTCCCGAAAAGGTAGTTCTTCGAGTCTCACACTCTTTGTGTTAATGGTTCTATATTTCCCGTCAATTATTGTGAAACAGGTGAAACATAAGCAAACCGATGACGGATGGAGGTTTTTATCGGCCGCAAGCCAGTTAGAGGACGACAGGCGTTTTACGACTGCGTTGGAAATTCCAACCTCCGGAGTTTTGTCAGTTCGTTTGATGCGGAAGTGGTAGTAGAACACTCCTATGATGACGCAGCTTTCGAGCATAAAAACCAGCGAAAATTCGTTAGAGGAGAAGCAGCCGGTGGGCGCAGCCTGTAGGCAGGGGAGCAGCACTTCTACAAAGTGCGGCTTGCAATTCTTTTCAAGTGCGTTCCCAACCGGACATTGCCTTGTTCCACGAATGAGATGTGATAAATGTGTATTTGTTGAATGGTATTTGAACTGTTCAAAAATGCTCATTCGAGCGGAGATGGTGTGGTGACAGGAGGGGCCACTGCCGCGCATATGGTCTCTGGATCGAATCCCAGCCCAAACCCAGCGCGCGTCAGCCAAATTTCTACAGATGATTAGTTGTTGCTAGGAGCGACTGTTACTACACAAAACACATCGATAACTTGTTTCTAAAAAAGTCGTAGTCTAAGGGTTAAGTGGAGAAGCGCCTTCGTTCTCACGTATATACAGAGGGGGGGGGGGCAATAAAAAAAAAGAATTTGTCTCCAGACTCAATGATTTCACACTTTGCTCAGCTCAAAGCGTGTGCTCCCAACTTAGAATTGAAGAGCGCATTTCATTTCATAAGAAAATCTTCATAGTGGCCATCTACGTGGACGGCATCAGGAAAATTTGCCCCGGAAACATGGTGCTCTGGTCGAGCTCAGTGGGGTTCTCGACTGATCGTGTACCGTTACGACGGGTTCCGAAGGGCGGGTTCCGAGGGGGTTTGCATAGTTAGAGCTAATGTCCCTAGGAAACTATCCCACGTTGAATCGATCCAAGAAATTATGTAAGAGCTTCAGGATGAAGCAGTTACTGTAGGCCTCCCTGAGCTCGAGATGACGGTGACAGATGAGTATATTCTGAGAACGGTGGGGAGGGCGCTACGTGTACTAATAGAGGGGAACTTTTTTGCCTATCCCTCCCCCTGTATGCCACTCTCCTGCAACCATCTTGCTCTGAAGTTTACGCTTCAAACGGCAATGCAGAAAGGCGATTCCAACGCACTTTGCAGCTCGCTATTGGTGCTCGGTTCTCAGTTTTTCCTAATTACCACTGGTCTGTTCAAAGCTGACTCCTGTTATAAAATCCCAACCTCTCCGCGCGAGTCAGATGCGACCTTCGTTGTCGAGTTTCACTGAACAACTACGATTTTTGGCGGACATCTCACGCCCGATTACGGAACCCTCTGCGAATGTCATTTGTTATAACTGTGACCTACCGATTTGCTTTCCATCGAGTTCCATGTCAACAATATCGAAAGGTGCTGGTTGTGACGCCGTTACTATATCGAAATCCGCCTTGAGCACTTGAACGTTTGTGAGCGGTGAGTACCTGCAATGTCCACTCAACGGTATTTTGAACACTGTTCACTATATGGAGAGATGTGTTTTTGTCGCAAGCAGAATGTACATATCTAATCGCAATCACATATTACAAAATATGCTCTGGATTGTGACCTTAAACTCCTTTGTTGCTTTCAGAGAACTGTCTAAGAAGCATCAAAGGGAGCATCAGCAGGAAGCCTGAAAGTCAAGAGAGGAATGCCGAAATTATTGGCTGGAGGCCGGAAGCATACATTATACGTTAGGCAAGGAGCGCTATTATTGGAACAGGGTCAACCCTATCGTTGTTACTATTCGAAAAATTTTTACGACCCCCCTCCCCCAAGGTGGATTTGGTACGACCCCCCTTCCGACACCTCGATCACCATATTCCTCTCTATAACACTTAACTTCCACTACCAAAATTTTCCCATTTCCCACAATCCCTAAATTTTCCACCAAATTTGCCCAATTTCTCCTATAATCTCACTGTTTCCTTTTCTAGGGGGGTATATACGCCGGCTGAAACGGCAAATTTTTATCTTGCGCGCCCTCTACTCGCACAACCTACTACCCACGGAATCTCGGTTTCTCCTCACTCCCACACGTGATTTCGAGCGACTAAAGTGGGTACGACCCCCCCTCCTACAAACTCAACCAGGTACGACCCCCCCGTTGTTACTCGTAACAACGTAGGGTTG